TTTCCAACCAAAAGGCAAAGAGTGACAAGATAAAAAAAGAAAAAAAAAACAAGATCAAATGATAGATAGCTGTTCCCGCTTATCTGTGGTTTCACTTTCCATGGTTTCAATTACCCATGGTCAACTGCAATTCAGAAGCAGATGATTCTCCTGATGTATCATCAGAAGGTTAACAGGAGCCTAACACTACATCACTCACCTCACTTCATCTCATCACATAGGCATTTTATCATCTCACACCATCAAAAGAAGAGAAGAAGGGTGAGTATGTATTTTTTTAAAGATTTATTTATTTGAGAGAGAAAGAGAGTGAGAGAGGGAGAGAGAGAATCTTCAAGAAGACTCCCTGCTGAGTGTGGAGCCTGATGTGGGGCTCGATCTCACAACCCTGAGATCATGACCTGAGCTGAAATCAAGAGTCAGATGCTTAACCGACTGAGCCACCCAGGTGCCATGAAGGGTGAGTTTAGTATAATAAGATATTTTAAGAAAGAGAGGGGAAAAAAAGAGAAAAAGAGAGATCACATTCACACAACATTTATTACCATATATTGTTTATAATTGTTTTATTATTAGTTATTGTTAATCTCTTACTGTGCTTAATTTACTTTATCATAGGTATTTACGTATATAAAAAAACAGTATATTTAGGGTTCAGTACTATCCATGGTTTCAGGCATCCACTGAGGGTCTTGAAACATACTCCCCACTGATAAAAGGGGACTACTGTGCTTTCTACAAAAGACTCACTTTAGATTTAAGGACACAAATAGTCTGAAAGCACAGAGATGAAAGAGATATACCAGATAGTAACCAAAAATAAAACAGGGGTGCCTATATTTATAGCAGACAAAACAGACTTCAGGTCAAAATCTGTCTGTGGAGACAAAAAAAAAGGTCATGATATAATGCAAAGGAGTCAGTTCAACAGGAAGCTATAACAACTGTATATGCATCCAACATCCGAGCACTGAAGTATATAAAGTAAATATCAACACATCTGAAGGGAGAAACTGACAGAAATACAGTAATAGTAGGAGACTTTGATACCTCACTTACAATAATGTACAAAACATCCAGAAAGAAAATCTATCAAGCAACAGCTGACTTAAACCTCACTATGGATCAAATGGACCTAACAGATATATACAAAACTTTTCACCCTACAGCAGAAGGATACACATTCTTCTCAAGTACACATGAAACATTCTCCAGGATAGATCATGTTAGGTCACAAAACAAGTCTTAACAAATTTAAGAAGATCAAAATCATTCCAAGTATCTTTTCCGCCTACAGTGGAATGAAACAAGAATCAATAACAGTAAGAAAACGGGAAAATTCACAAGTATGTGGAAACTAAACAACACTCTTGAACAATCACTGTGTCCAAAAAGGGGGAATTTTAAAAGTATCTTTTTTTTTTAAGATTTTATTTATTTATTTGACAAAGAGAGAGACAGCAAGAGAGGGAACACAAGAAGGGGGAGTGGGAAAGGGAGAAGCAGGCTTCCCACCAAGCAGGGAGCCCGATGTGGGGCTCAATCCCAGGACCCTGAGATCATGACCTGAGCTGAAGGTAGTCGCTTAACCAACTGAGCCACCCAGGCACCCCTAAAAAGTATCTTGAGACACATAAAAACAATAACACAACATAACAAAACTTATGGGATGTGACAAAAGCAGTAGTAATGGGTGATTTTATAATGATAAATGCTTATATTAAAAAAAAAGAAATATATCAAATAAACAATCTAATCTTACATCTCAAAGAACTAGGAAAAAAGAGAACAAACTAACCCCAAAATCAGCAAAAGGAAATAATAAAGATTAGAACAGAAATAAATTAACTAATAAACAGAAAAACAAGAGGAAAAAAAAAATCAACAAAATTAAGAGTTATTTTTTTGGAAGGATAAGTGAAATCTACTAACCCTGAGCTAGACTACCAAAAGGAGAGAAGACTCAAATCAATAAAGTCAGAAATGGAAGGAGACATTACAGTGGATGCCTCAGAAATAAAAAGAAACAACTATACACCAACAAATTGGATAACCCGGAAGAAATAGATATTCTTAGAAACACACCTTTCAAAACTGAAGAAAAGATGAAAGAGAAAGCCTGAACATACCCATCACAAATAAGGAAATTGAATCAGTAATTAAAAACCTCCCAAGAAAGAAAAAACCCCAAACCAGATAGCTTCGTGGATTAATTCTACTAAACTTTTGAAGAATTAATATCCCAATCCTTAAATTCTTCCAAAATAGAGAAGAGGAAGAAACACCTCCAAACTCATTTTATGAGGCCAGCACCACTCTGATAACAAAGTCAGGAAAAGATAATACAAGAAAAGAAAACTACAGACCAATATCCCTGATGAACATAGATGCAAAAGTCTTCAATAAAAGTCTAGCAATCCAAATTCAACAGCATGTTAAAAGTTCATACATGTGACCAAATGGGATTTATCCCTGGGCTGCAAGATGGTCCGGCATATGCAAATTAATAAATGTCATACATCACATTATCAGAATTTTAAAAATCCACAAGTTTATCTCAATAGATGTAGAGAATGCATCTGACAAAATTTAACATCCATCCATGACAAAAACTCTAAAAAAAAATAAGTACACAGGTAACTTACCTCAACACAATAAAGGCCATATATAAAAAGCCCACAGTAAACATCACCATCAACTCAGTAGAAGGCACAGATGCTCATTCTTACCACTTTCTTCAACACAGTGCTGAAAGTCCTAGCCAGAGCAATTAGACAAGAAAAAGAAATAAAAGGCATCGAAATCCAAAAGACGTAAAATTTTCTGTTTGGAGATGACGTGATCAGTTATGTAGAAAACCCTAAAGACTCAACAAAAGCATGTTAGAACTAATAAATGAATACAGTAATGTTGCATTACTGCATTACATGCATACATTGTATGCATTACATGCATACATTGCATACAAAACCAACATACAGAAGTCAGCCATATTTCTATACACAAACAACAAACTATCCAAAAAGAAATTAAGAAAACAATCCTATTCACAACAACCAAAAAAATATTTAGGAATAAATTTAACCAAAGAGGTAAAATATTTGTACACTGAATATTATAAAACATAGATGAAGGAAATTTTAAAAGATTAAGTGGAAAGACATCCTGTGTTCATGGATAGAAGGATATTGTGAAAATGTCCCTATTATCCAAAGTGATCTACCAATTCAATGCAATCTGTCAAAATCACAATGTTAATCTCTACAGAAACAGAAAAAAAAAATCCTAAAATTCATACAGAACCACGAAAGCCCCTAAAATCAGAAAATAATAGCTAAAGCAAACTTGAGCAAGATGAACAAAGCTAGAGGCACCATGCCTCCAGATTTCAAAATATATTTCAAAGTTACAGTGATCAAAACAATATGTTACTGGTATAAACAGACATACCGATTAAATGGATCAGAAGAGAGAGACCAGAAATCCGTGCAACTACAGCTAACTGATCTTTAACAAGGGTACCAAGAATACACAATGGGGAAAAGATAATCTTCAATAATGGGTGTTAGAGAAAGTGGATACCCTCATGCAGAAAACAAATGAGACCCTTATCTCACACCATATACAAAATCTCATACTATATACAAAAATCAACTCAAAATGAATTAAAGACTTAAACATAAGACCTGAAACCATAAAACTACCAGAAGAAAAAACACAGGGGAAAAGCTCCTTCACATTAGCACAAGCAGTGATTTTTTTGGATAGGACACTAAAAGCACAGGCAATAAAAGCAAAAATAGTCTACTAGAACTACATAAAACTAAAAAGCTTCTGCAAAGGAAATAATCAATGGAGTGAAAAGGCAACCTATAACGGGAGAAACATTTGCAAACCATGTATCTGATGGGGGTTAATAACCAAAATATATCAGAAGCTCGTACACTCCACAGCAACAAAACAAAACCAATATAAAAAATGGGCTGAGGACCAGAATAGACTTTTCTAGAAAGACATACAAATGGCCAACAGGTATATGAAAAGGTGTTCCAACATCACTAATCATCAGGGAAGTGCAAATCAAACCCAAAGAGGTATCATCCAACACCTTTTAGAATGGCTATGACCAAAAAGACAAGAGATAACAAGGTTGGTGAGGATACGAAGAAGAGGGAATCTTCTTACTACCTTAATCAACTAAAGAAAGAAAGTTTATCAGATGCTTAAACAAATCCACACTATGATGTGAATTACCTGATTAAGGTAGTGACCGTCAGGATCCTTCCATTGTAAAAATATATTTTGGTCTTTGTAATTAATGTTATCTACAGGGTCATAACTTCAAAATCATGTATTTCTCTCCTAACAATCTTTATTTTACTTTGTTTCTCATTTTATTGCTTGTTTTCCCCCACCTTGAATGGAAGCTCCATAAAAGTAAAGATTTTTGTTCTTTTTATTCATTGCTATATCTCCAGTGGTTAGAACAGTGCTTGGCACATTGTAGACCTCAATAAATATACTTAACGAATCATCATTAGTTGTATGCCTCTGTATTCTATATGAGACTTTGAACAGCCTAAAGGCAAATGTGATGTTTCTGTCATCTCTGTATTTGCAGAAAATAAGCACACTACTTAACAAATAATCATGACTTGCTTAATGCTATTCTATTTTCACTTTTAACGACCACAGGTAATCAGTTATAATACATAGGCCTGACTTGGTTTTTTTATTTACAAAGTGTTAAAAATAACATATTTATTTAATTATATTACAGTAAGAAATAATGAAGCTATTTTAATATTTCTTTTTAAAATAAAAGATGAGGAAAATCCTACTAATTTGAAATTCAAGGCTTTCAGGAAAAAATTACTAAGTTATATGATATATGAATTTTTGTCAGCTTTGTTTTGCTAACTTACTTGTTTAGTGGACATTTTAGTAATACAATGCTAAAATACCAAATTATTTTTTTAAGCAATACTAAGTTACTTTACCTGTAATGCTTTTAATGTTTCCTTCAATCCTTCTATTTCTTTTTCTTTTATTTCTGTAGCAAGTTGATATTTTCCCTTTAAGGAAAAAACTATAATTCAGTACTTTCCTATGTAAATGATATTATTAATGGGGAAAATACAAAAGCTCAAGAACCAAAACCTCTACTTTAAAACTAACACTTCACATCTTTAAACTTGGATCTGCACCACAACTTACATTCCTAATGACTTCAAAATATGAACTTACAATAAGGCCTTCATAAGATTATAAATATCATCAAATGAAAATTATAACAAATCATTTTATCAGTGTAATATTATAACAAATATTTATGGAGGCTTCAGTGCATGATAATCATTTTATCAGGAGAGCATTCCTAAGAATTTATGGACACTATATAATTATTTAATTCACACAGCTAGAATAAATATATTCTAATTAATAAGTTACAAGTATATTTGTCTTATAAAGATATGGGAGAATTTTTTAAAAGGTCTTTGTAAATAGTATGTTCATTCATAATAAAAACATGTATTAACTATTAAATAATTAGAGAAAATAATGCTAGGTGAATTTCTAGTTCAGAGTTGTATCTTCTTTCCCAATTGGTGTGCATCCAGATGCAAATCATTTTAAAGTTTATTTAAACAGGTAATTACACTGAAAAAGCACTAAAAAAATACTTAATAAAAACATTACAGCAGAATAGAAAAAACATTAATTTGGGGGCTGAAGAGATCTGAGTTCTAGTCCCAACTTCGCCACTTCAGAATGAGAGCTTCAGCTTCAGCAAGTCATTTAATCTTGCTAGGCTTCAGTACTACCAACTGTAAAATGACAGAGGTAACATGATTTCCTTGGCTCTTTTCAATTTCTAAGATTTTAAGCAATTAACAGTCTCCATTAATCTATTGCTAATACTTCTTTTCATTGTGGTAAACAATTGATAATCAAATGCACTTAACTATGCCTTAAATTATTAAAAAATTAATAAATACCTTTTCTTCTTCCAAGGCACACATCTTCATTTGCAACTGATAAATAATTTTAAGAGTTAAAATACAGGTAAGTAAACTGTTAGTAGTGATTTACACTGGTCAGTGAGACTAAAAAATATTTTACATGTAATACAATGTGAATGTGCTGCCTTTACACTGAGAAAATAAAAATAATAAAAGGCATGGAAGGTGGCAAAAAGCCAGTCACCAAAAGAAATGAACAATTTAATCACATGATTAGGGATACCAATGGTCCCTGAAAATTTAGTTTTTCCTTCCACGGGTTTTTTTCTTCAATGTTTCAATATTTTGCCATCTACTCTTAAATAATATGTAATGTTTTCTGAAGGCACACTTTTATGAAATCCGTATCATTTGTATTAGCATTGACAGTATTTTCTGAAATTTTTTTAAAAGATGCATGTAGCTGTCTCATAAATAAATAGTGATATTTTAAAACAGAGTAACTAGGGTCAACATGCCAAAGAAAACTAATAGAATATTCTAAGCAACACAAGGATTCTAGGTAAAATTGTCAAGAAATAAAATTTTTCTTTGGAACTTCTCCATCTCATTTTCCACATCCCTCATTTACATTCAAGAATCAGGAAGAGGAGAGGAGTGGGGAGGGGAGGGGAAGGGAGGAAAAGAAACAAACAAGAACAAGAAAAAAAAAAAAAAAAAGAGCCCAAGAGCACTTTCTCCATTACCCTTCAGATACCCAGATATTCTTATTTTGCCGAAAGTCTCTTGTGACAAGAGAGACCTAGACTTGCCCTCTCCTAGAGATTACTATGTGGTATATTTGGCTTCTGCTTCCTTAGTCTTCAATTAAAACTCCCATAACTTTGATGAGGCTAATCGCAGACTAAAAGGAAGAAAGTTTATCATCTGCTTAAACAAATCCCCACTACAGTGTGAACTACAAATAACCTCAACCAACTAGTGATTTACCTTATATAGGTGTATTTCTTTTTATGCATTTCTCTTTCTAAACATACACACTTGTATGGAGAAAAAGACAAAAGAGGGAAGGAAAAAGGAAGAAAAAAATGGCGATGCTGGAATGACTAAGGAAAAAATTTCTTGAGAATATTTTTCATGAGCATATTTCTTACACTTATATTTTCTAATGAGGGACTGAAGAATAATTTGAGGTAGTAAAGAAGAGCTATAGAACTCAAAATTTAACTGAAGGAGTTGCTATTCAGTTTTTTAAATCATATATATATATGTTTTTTTTAAAACATGTATGTTTTTCTCTGCTCTTAGTTGCTGATAGTATTTATGAAGGGCTCAGTGCATGATAATCACATCTCCTCATCCTCCACATCTCCCTCCCTCCGTCTCAGCTCTTCATCGGCATTCTCCTTCTGGCTTGGGTAAAGGAAGAAAGCAGAAAAGGTAAGACCCTAGGATACTCTAATCCAAGGGATAAAGGGGAAAGGGAGAGAAAGAACAAAAGCACACACGTCACTAACCTAATTTATTTAAGACAGATGAAAATACATCTCCAAGAAAACAGTTTTCCCAATTTCTCCCCTTAACTAACTCATTCTACTACATGTCAGCTGTGATTCAAAATAACTTTATCTCCTGCTTCCATTAATAATACTCTTTTTGTCTTCAGTGAGTATGCCATAATATTCATATGGGGACAGGAGGGAGGTGAAATATTTGAAACTGTAGTGTTTGCCTATCCTTATAAAATTACCTGCTTTTTAAAAGCTGCCATTGCTTCTCTGTGTTGCTTTGCTAATGTTTCCTTTTGATTCTGAAGTGTTTCCTATTTTAAAAATTACGAAAAGTTAAAGCATAAATTTGAGCAACTTTCAGTTTTAACTTTTAATTAGGTTTCATAATTTAAATAAAAGTTAAACATTTATTGCACATATTATTGTATGCTCTTGAAACGCAACTTTAAACCAATTCTATGATTTTTTTACCTGTCATGCATCAGCATACAGTAATTATTCTTTCAGTTGCTTCTTCATGATAAAACGCATTTCTTTAAAATTTTAAACTCTAGGATGCCTGGGTGGCTCAGTTGGTTAAGTGACTGCCTTCAGCTCAGGTCATGATCCTGGAGTCCCGGATCAAGTTCCGTATCGGGCTCACTGATTGGCTGGGGAGTCTGCTTCTCCCTCTCCCTCTGACACTCCCCCTTCCCATGCTCTCTCTCTCGCTCTCAAATAAATAAATAAAATCTTAAAATAAATAAATAAATAAAATTTTAAACTCTAAACATGACTCAGGGTGCCTGGGTGGCTCAGTCAGTTGAGCATCCAACTCTTGATAACAGGCTCAGGTCATAATCTCAGGGTCATTGGCCTGAGATTCTCTCTGCCTCTCCCCCCGACGCTGCTCGCATGCATGCACTTGCTATCTCTCTCTCTCTCTCTCAAATAAATAAATCTCTAAACACACACACACACAACTCTAAACATGGCTCACTCCAAAGCTTTCTTGAAAATATTTCATCAAAAGTTATTAAAATTAGTAGTCTTAGTACACAAGACGCTTATAGTCTTTTAGAGTTCCCAAAGAAACCCATTTTATTATCTAAGCACAAATGTTCACATGAGGACACAATTCTTTAAATTCACTGAAGTAATTTTTTTTATAAAATCAAAACCACTATAGGGCATTTTTTTTAAATCCACATATATGATTCCATTTCTTTTTTTTTCTTCTCTCCCGCCCTTTTTGATAGAAGCTGTGTGTTCTATTCTTCAGATTCAAGATGACTTCAAACTTTTTTCTATGTTTAGTGAATAATTCTCACACTTAAAAAAAAATTAGATCTTCCAGTGTTTGTTATTTGACTCTATGTTTCTAAATATATGTTGATCTACCAACTTAAAACTTTTATCTGACTTCTATTATGATAGTTGGGAGTTTGGCCTTCTTGTACAACCATTACCTAACATCTGTTCCCTCTATTCCTCCAACAGAGTTAAATAAAAACTGTGACTTAAATCAATCTTCAGTATTTATACTATCATGACTACGCAATTTTTACTCAATGCTCAGCCATATAATATACCGTAATTACAATTCTATCTAACAGAGCTTTTTGTTTTTTCTGAAGTTAGCAATTACTTTAAAATATTTTACTTCTTGGGGCACCTGGCTGGCTCAGTCTGAAGAGCATATGATTCTTGGTCTCTGGGGCATGAGTCTGAACCCTGTTCTGGGCACAGAGATTACCAAAAAAATAAAATAAAATAAACTTTAAAAAATATTTCAATTCTTATAGCTAATTTTAAAAAATAGTACTACCAGTTCCCAGATCTGTACCAATGGTTCATACTCTCAAATGAAAAAAAAAAGAAAAGAATGGAAAAAGCAAAGTGAGAAGACCCCAAGAATGACAGGACATCACAAAATGCACAAGAAACCAGACAGATTTAGAAAAGCTGTAGATGTTGGACAAAATCTTTCAGAGGCTATTATCCAGTTTTCCATGAAACTAAATTAGACTCTAATCCACTCCTGCAAGCAAGGAAAGAATTCATTGAAGACCTCAGGGATAGGTTCCCTGAGGAGTACATTCTCAAGTAAATGTGACCTCTAGCTTCTCCTTACTTTTTGTGACCAGCCTTAAACCTGGAAATAGGAGATTTAATATGCAACAAAAACTGGAATAGGAAATAGCCCCATTACTAGATCTCAAATCCATATGTTCAAAAAGCCTTTGAACAAAAGCAGAATAAACTGGAGGCCTTACAGATAAAACAACTTAATGTTCCCACTCCAGTCATCAAGCACTGAAGGAGTGAGCCTCTTGGTAAAGACACTTGTAGATACTTATTATAAACAGAAAGGGCACTGGGGAAAAACCTTCCTGAACTAGCTAAGAAAATGAAGGGGAAAAACATCAAGTGGGCAAATCAATGATACTGCTCTGAAGGCAAATCATGCACCCAACTTCCCATTTTATCCTCAAACTTGCAAAGAGAAATTTCTCTAAATATTAAAAGAAACTTTGCAAAATTTTTAGTCATACCATTAATCCTGCCATCATCACTCTTTCTCAGAGTCCATGAGCTACTCAGAGAGTGAATATCTCTAATAATCCAGAGATACTCCCTACTGTTTCAGCCTCCAACTGTTATCCTTGGATCCTCAAGTGAGACATATTATTTTCTCCTTTTTGACACCACACCCATTAGCATAAGAGAAAGGAATCTACTATGTAAACAGAACTGCAAAATTAAATTCTTCCCTGTTTTTTTTTTTTTTTTTAAGATCCCTGAGGATTTTTCTGTTGTAATCAGATCACAGCTAATCATTCAGATACTGACTTACTGGTACCTCTGTGTATGATCAAACCAAATTAAGATTTCTTTGAAGTGGCACTCTTTGTGGGCAAAATGTCGTACTGATATTAGCAGCAAACCTCTACTTAACTTTACATAATCTCTAAAACCAGACGTTAAGATTTAAAGCCAATAGTCTAAAAGCCTAATAGAGAAAGGATCAATCACATTTTATACCCGTCTTTGAACATTGTTGTTTCCCAGTCAAGAAACCCAATGGGTGAAGATAAAGATCTGTTCAAGAAAAAGAAAATAACCGTGGCCCCAATTCTTTGTAGTACTGAGCCCAAATACTATTTTACCTTCAGTGCTATCTGACTCTACATATTTTACCACTGTAAATATACGTTCTGCTTTCTATAGTGTTCCTTTAGATCAAGATGGTGTGACCTGTTTGTTTTGTCCTGGGAAAGTCAACAATTTACCTGGATAACTATGCCTCAGGGGTTTACTGAGGAACCTTAAGGAACTTAAATTTCTCTGTAACTCCACTCTTCTACAATACATGGGCAAGTTTTTGTTGTTCTAAAGATGAGGAGAGCTCTAACACTGACTCCATTTAACTACTTACTGCTTTAGCTCAAAAAGGACGTGAAAATTCCAAAGAAAGTTTAGAATTTTGTCAGAATAAAAAATGCCACCTTTATCATTCACTAATTTATCTTATGATTTGAATCTACTTCTAGACTCTATTATGTTCTGAGGAATACCTATTCATGTATGCTACACCAAGCTACCTTAATTACTACAGTTTATAATAATATATTTAAGAATCTAGTGTGATTATTTCGTCCTGTGCTTTTTCAAAAATTTCCCAGACACTCTTGTACGTTTATTTCCACATAAACCTTAGAACAGCTTAAGAACAGCAAACACACTCTTGGTATTGGATTGTATTAAACATACTGATTAACTTAAGGATTTGGATAACTTTATACTGTTGACTCTCTCTATCCAAAAATAAGATAGGACTTTACATTTTGAAATCTGCTTGGAGTTTCAGTTTGTACTTAGTGTTTATCTGTTTCTTCTTTCTGCAGAGAGGTTCGATACCTTGGACCTCATAAAACCCAACCCTAGTTTTACTCCCATATTCTACACAACCTTGTGGGCCTGTCTGGTCTCAAAATTCCCATCATTTCTAGTTTGAGCTATCCTCTGTCACTTGAATTCTAATATGTTACCTCCAACTTCCTATTTCAATATTGCCAAAGAGTGAAAAGAAGGGGGCCATCATAATTAAGATTTCAATTTTTAGCTATTAAGATTACTTTGGTGGCGAGGCATGAGAAGCACTATCAAAAATGCTTCCATATAAATAAGTCTAGAGAGAAAATCAGATCTGATGATACTGGCAGTTGTTTTTTGTTTTTGTTTTTGTTTTAAGCAGGGTCCACACACAACTTGGGGCTTGAACCATGACCCTGGAATCAAGAGTCACAGGCTCTACCGAAAAAACCAACCAGGTGTCCCTCTGATACCAGGTTTTTTTTAATATTTGCTTATAGTATGTAATAACAGCCTGGGAAAATGAAGAGGTTTCACTTCTTAAAAAATATTTTGACTCCCTTATAATACATAGTGTGTTTCTCACACATTAAATAGATCATAGTAGTTTTCAGATTATCAGAAAGCCTGGAAAAAAATTTCATTCTCAGTGTTCTGGAGGCCCAGATGTTATTAAAAACAATTTTAGTCAGAATTCTCTTGAGACTTTGTTTAAAATGATGCACAATCTCCAAATATGTTTAGGAAATTTAAAAATTCCAACTGCAATTAAGGATTAGAATACCTCTTTCAGTAGATGCTAAAAAGATTAATTTGAAATAAAAATTTAAAATACTCACTTTTGGGGTACCTGGGTAGCTCAGTTCATTAAGCATCCAACTCCTGATTTTGGCTTAGGTCATGATCTCAGGATGGTGAGACTGAGCCCCACATCAGCTCCATGCTCAGAGGAGTCTGCTTGAGTTTCTCTCCCCTCTACCCCTCCCCCACCACTCACGTACGTGCTCACTCTCTCTGGGGTAAATCTTAAAACAACAACAACAACAACAACAACAAAAACTCACCTTTTGCCATTTAAGTTCTTCTGTCTCCACAATAATTTTACCAATCTGCTCTTCATACTGAGTTTCTGCTTCCTAAATCAAAAAGAAAAATGCTAGGAAAATTAGGACTTTAAAATTTTACATTTCAGCTCTTTGTAGAAAGATAAAAAGAGCATCCTCTCATGCTTACAACAAGAAAAAAATCTGGACAAATTGCAAATCAGATAGACAAACCCATCAGAGAACTGAGGTCCCAGATCATTCAATTAACCCAAACTCTGGATAACTCTCTCCAGCAGGGAGAAGAGAACCATAGCATTTGTTTACCTGGGACATAAACCACTGAGTGCTGATAAGAAAACTCAGCTGAAAGTTCTTAATAAATTGGTAAAGGCAGAACGTGGACTAGTGTAAGAATATGAATTCCCAGGGGCCCCAGAAATAAGGAGGTTTTATATTTTTTATAAGGTTATTCCTTCAGGAAGCCCACCAAGTGCTTCCAGGGAAGGATGGGAAGAATCCAACAATCTGAGAAGCTCTCCCCTGTGGTACTGGCTGGGAAAGAGAAGAGCAGTAACAACCCATCTTCCCTATTTCTCCTACAGACCAAGAATCTTAATCTGTAAGGGAAAGGGCAACAAAAACTATACTTAAGAACACTAGTGGAAACCCTCTACAGCTGGGAAAGGGGACCAAGGGCCACCACTGAAAACTCCACCTCGACAGACCAGTCTTCCTCATCTCCCCTAAGGAACAAGAGCCTAATCTACAGGGGGAGGGGCAATCAAAATGACAGCATGAGAGCTCCTGTGAAAAGCCACTGCAGCTAGAAGCAGGCTAGGAAAATAAAATAACAGCTCTATCACAGCAGGAGGAGCAGAAAAACAGCAAGAATATAGGAATACAGTAGGCCCAGCATTAAAAACAAAAGAAGGATCAGAACTATTGTGAAGACCTCACCCTGAGACCCAGTTTCACCTAAAAACTGAAGCTTAAAAAAGTCAGAGAATGCCCGTATTCCCCCCACCTGCAGCCACGACCTGACAAAGAAGCAACAAATAAAAAAGAACAGGGAGATCAGCGGGGAGGGCTGCAAAGACAGACTCTCTCTGGGAGGCAGCATAAAAGTCCCAAAGTCAAGGAACAAGGCCCAAAGCCAAGCAGGAAGCAGTTATTTAGAAAAATCCTCTGATTTTGTTTAAAATCATGTAACACTCCTGAATTAGCCTACACCATAAACATAAGTTATCACTAAAGAAATCTGATTCTTCTGTTGAAAAATTCAACAGGTAGACTTGAAAAGTGCCTGTATACAGTGTTGTTTTTTTTTAAAGATTTTATTTATTTGACAGAGAGAGAGACAGCCAGAGAGGGAACACAAGCAGAGGAAGTGGGAGAGGGAGAAGCAAGCTCCCTGCTGAGCAGGGAGCCCAATGCGGGGCTCGATCCCAGGACCCTGGGATCATGACCTGAGCCGAAGGCAGACGCTTAATGACTGAGCCACCCAGGCGCCCCATAAAGTGCCTGTATACAGTGTTGAAGGTATGCCCCAACACGCATAGAGAGAGCCCTTCTACAAAACCTGGGAGGTTGTTGTTGTTGTTGTTGTTTTGGCTCCAGGTATTTAAGGAAATCTCTGCCAAACAAAGCACTAGCTGATCATTAAGAGCACAATGACTTCAGTGGCCACACATGACAGAAAACAGCAGACTTCGCAAAATTTTTTCAGAAAAGCCACTAAACAATGACAACAAACAGCAACCATGGGAAGGAAAATTATCTGATTTCCAGAGTTGCCACATATTCAAAATGTCCATGTCCAGTTCTCAACAAAAAATACAAAGCGTACAAAGAAACAAGAAAGTGTGATCCATACACAGGCAAAAAAAAAAAAAGTTAAAAAGAACTGTCTCTGAGTAAGTACAGACAATGGACTTACTAGACAAAGACTTTACATCAACAATTTAAATATGCTCTAAGAGCTAAAAGAAACCATGTACAGATTCTGCAACCATTAAAAAGTTAATAAGGGAATGCTACAAACAAGTTTATGCTCATAAATTTGACAACTTACAGAAATGGACCAATTCTTTAAAATCCCAAACTACTAAACCTGATCCAAGGTGATACAGACAATCTAAATAGCCCTACAGATGAACCATGAGAGACGATGGACTCTGAAAAACAAACTGAGGGTTCTAGAGGGGAGGGGGGTGGGGGGATGGGTTAGCCTGGTGATGGGTATTAAAGAGGGCACGTTCTGCGTGGAGCACTGGGTGTTATGCACAAACAATGAATCATGGAACACTACATCAAAAACTAATGATGTAACATATGGTGATTAACATAACAATAAAAAAGTAAAATAAATAAAATAAATAAATAGCCCTATAACCACTAGTTTAAAAGCTCCCAAGAAAATAAATGTCCAGGCCCACATGGTTTCATCTTTAGAGAATTCTACCAAACATATAAAAAATTAACACCATTTTTACACAGTTTCTTCCAGAAAAATAAAAGAGGAAGGAACACATCCCAACTCATTTTATAAGGCCTGTGTACTGTGACACCAAAACTAGACAAAGACAGTACAAAAAAAGAAAACTAAAACCAATACCTCTCACAAATTTTGATGGAAAAATCCTCAACAACATATTAGCTAATGGAATCCAACAATGTATATACCATCACCAAGTAGAATTTATTCCAGATATATTAGGCTGATTCAACAACAATATTAAGTTGATATATCTCACCATATCAACATGCTAAAGAAAAAAAGTCACATGACCATAACAATTAACACAGAAAAGACAACTGACAAAACCCAACACTCATTTATAATAAAAACTCTCAGCCAGTTTGGAATAGAGAGAATTATCTCAATTTCATAAAGAGCATTCATAAAAACACTATACTTAACATCATATTTAATGATAAAAGACTAGATGGATGGATAGACAGACAAGGAAAGGGAAAAAAGGAAAGAGAGAGAAAGAGAGGAGAGAAAAAAAGGAAGGAAACAAATCAGACAGAAGTAAACTGTCTCTATTTGTACATGACATGATTGTATACATGGAAAACCCCAAGGAATCTATAAAAAATCTCCCAGAATTAATAACTGAGTTCAACAGGGTCTCAGGATACAAGATCAACACCCAAAATATCATGTTTCTATACACTATCGAAAACAAAATAAAAAATACAACATAATTTATAATCACTCCAGAGAAAATGAAATACATAAGTGTACACTTAACAAACATGGATCTGTATGCTGATAGACACAACAATATGGATGAATTTAAAACATCATGCTGAGTGAAAGAAGCCTTACCTAAAAGAGTACATATGTATGATTCCATTTATATGAAGTGTCAGAAAAAATAAAACTAATTGACAGTGGAAAATAATCAAAAAAGTGGTTGCCTCTTGGGGAAGGAGTAGGAGTAGAACTGGCCTGGGTAGACAGAAACATTTTATATCTTGATAAGATGTATGCATCTTACCAAATCCCAAAGAAGTTGGATTAGAAATGTGCAAGATACTGCTTTCTTCATGTGGGCCTCGTTATACAGATCTCTTTTAAATGGGTTCTGAGATCTTACTGTGATTTAGATATTGTTCTAAGCACCTTTTATGTATTAATTTAATCATAGGTATAATTTTTCGAGGTAAGTACTCTTATTATCACCATTTTATAGATGAGGAAACTAGGTTAGCAAGAGAATAAGTAACTCCCCTAAATGCACATAGCAGCTAAACAGCAGAGCTAGTATTTGAACCTAGATGATCTGTCTCCAGAGCCTCTTAAACATGCCATTTTATTACCTGTAAGAAATTGTGAGTGCTGTGGGACAATATGGATTGTTATGATACACTCCTTTCCTTCAAAAACCTCAGAATCTAATCTTCATATCCCACAGAAGATAGAAAGACATTCAAAATCATATTACTTATTTTAAATATAGAAGTACATTCTGATATTTGGTAGAACATTTCAAAATAACAATTAGAAATATTTGTTGAATAGAAAAACAAAAGCATTAAGAATCGCTGTGTCTCTGTCAAATAAATAAATAAAATCTTAAAAATATATATATAAAAAGGAATTGCTACAAATGTTCTTAGAATATTTTTCTATTTCAGAAATCTTTGTAATAGACTAAGTTGAATAATATGAAAACAGTAGCTTAAATACTAATTAGGAAAGAGGTTCTTTAAAATATGAACTTTTAGGCTATTCCATGCATATTAGTGATATTTATCTTGAATACTTTGTAGTTAATCAAAGAAACTATCTGAAAAAATTATTAGTATTTTATTAGACAACATGAGAAACTGAACTGGGCAATTTTGTAGGAGGTGGATTATGAGTTTGAAAAGGAGAATAAAAGTAACCAGTTACAGTTTTGGCTGCTTGGACATGTGCCTGCTGTATGTACTATGTCCCTAAATCTGTTCAGGGTCAAGAATTGAAGAGATCTGACCAATACACAGCACATCTTGTAAAACTACAGCCTGAAGCAAGCATTTTAAAAAAAAGCATGACACTGTCTAAAGGTTATAAAGAGTAAATAAGCCATCAAATTACTCTTCTTTTATTGGTTTTATAAAAACACTTAAATCCTTGTAGTCCTAAGGCAGATAATAAAAGATAAACACTTCTAAGGTTCTATATTCTTGGATACTTTATTGAAGTTACAGATGCGATTTTCTTACAAATTTAATAGATTTTTCTCATTGACAGTAAGGATTTTTATTAATAACTTTTGAAAGCTGCTCGAAGAACTAATGAAAGATAAAAATGAAAAGTTCCAATAAAAAGAAAATAATGTTTAATATAAAGCATATAGCTAAATTAAAATCCTAATATAGTAAAAGTGTATCATAATGTTACCTTTCAGCATTGTAGATAACACCCATTTTATCAGTTTTCCATGTAGTACAGAGATGTATATATTCTATAAATCATTATAATTATAAAAGGATATGATTCTACTCAGAGCCTAACTAATTTTATGGGGCACTGAAATGCTGCTTAAGGTTATTTACCACATATTATACCATTAATTATACCCAGTTTTCCTTCA